ATTTTATATTTTATATAAAAAACAATTTATTTAAAAATAATAAAAGAAAAGAAAAATTTTTTACGAACACTCAAAATCAAAATTATCAAGAAGAATGAAAAATTATTTTTCAAAAACAGAAAACTTATTAATATAAAATGCAAAGATATTTTGATTAAAAATATTTCAAGAAACAAAGTGTTATTTTCAAAAAGTATTTTTAAATGTTAAAATATTATAACGCCACAAGACTATAGTCTGTTCTATAGTTGAGACTATAGTCTGTTCATTAGTCGAGACTATGGTCTGTTATTGTCGAGACTATAGTCTGTTCTATAGTAGGGACAATTGTCGGGACTATGGTCTGTTTTATTGTCGAAACTATAGTCTGTCCTATAGTCGAGACAATAGTCTGTTCATTAGCCGAAACTATGGTCTATGTCATGTTCTACAGTAGGGGACTATGGTCTGTTCTATAGTCGAGGCTATAGTCTGTTCTATAGTCGATACTATACATAGTTTGGTCTCTAGCCGAGATTATAGTTTAATCTATATTCGAAACTATAATATGTTCTATAGTCGAAACTATAGTCTGTTCATTAGTCGAAACTATAATAGTCTGTTCATTAGTCGAGACTATAGTCTGTTCATTAGTCGAGACTATAGTCTGTTCTATAGTCGAGACTATAGATTGATCTATAGTCGAGATTATAGTCTGTTCTATAGTCGAGACTATACATAGTTTGATCTATAGTCGAGACTTTAGTTTGTTCTATATTCGAGACTATAACCTGTTCTATAGTCATGGCTGTTCTATAGTCGAGACTAAACATAGTTTGATCTATAGTCGAGACAATAGTTTGTTCTATATTCGAGACTATAAACTGTTCTATAGTCATGGCTGTTCTATAGTTTGTTCTATAGTCGAAGCTATAGTCTGTTCTATAGTCGAGACTATAGTCTGTTCCATAGTCATGGCTGTTTTATAGTTTGTTCTATAGTCGAGACTATAGTTTGTTCTATATTCGAGACTATAACCTGTTCTAAAGTCATGACTGTTCTATAGTTTGTTCTATATTCGAGTCTATAGTTTGTTCTATAGCCGAGACTATAATCTGTTCTATAGTCGAGACAAGAGTAAGTAGTTGAAAATATAGTCTGTTCTAAAATCGAGACAATAGACAGAGAGACAATATGTATACAGTACAGTTTGTACTTTCTATATAAAATCCATTTATATAAAAATCATAATTCAAGTTTAAGGTTCACTTCCAAAGGTTATCTACAACAAATTGTGGCAACAACAAAAACAAACGTTTAAAAATAATGAATAGAAAAATGTTTTCTATAAAACATCATAATGACGTTTAGTATGTATTTCAATTAAGCTGCTTATAAACTTGTGTTAAAAACACCTTTAGTTCTAATTATCAACGTCATTATCTATGATTATGTAAATATAAATATATCTTTTATATTTCTCTTAGCCAGACACCACCTTCACCCTCACCTGTCTGTGGCTGATTGTGTACAATAAATGGACGAACGTCATAATAAATATTATAAATATTTGTGGAAGCCCCTTTTTGTTTGCATTTATGGCTGTTGCTATAGATGAAAAGATGAAGAAAAGGTTGCTTGCACTCACATGATGATGATGATGAAGATGATGTTGATCTAAAGTTAATAATAAAGTGTCGTTTCTAGTAAGTGTTTACATAGACAAAGCATCAACACCCATGATAAAAGATATATTTACAGTATTTTGTTTAAATAATTCATATTTAATGAATGCTACAGTCAACGTAGTTCAGAGTCAAAGTAATTTGTTAAAGTTTTTATGTAGAAAAAAAAAAACAACAAAAACGAATTGAAATTGTATCACTTACATTTAATGACTTATTGTACGAGCTATATCGGTAATCTGTTTAATCTTTACTCAAATTTCATTGCAGCTCACTTATAGTAATTAATAGAAATTTTCTTAACTTTATTAGTTTTTTTTTGCAACACAACTAAATAATTGCGCAATATTTTAAATATTTCGGGCATTTTTTTGATGCACTGCTAAATTTCCTTGATATCTGATGGGTCTATATTTGTTTCTCATTTAAAATTGTACTGGAAATCATTCGATATAAAGTGAGTCTCTTGTGTTGTTTGGGAATATCTATCTTGTTGAAGTTTCTTATTTGGTTTAATCTGAGATCAGAGTTCTATAGTCGGGACTATAGTTTGTTCTATTATAGTCTGTTTTATAGTCTGTCCTAGTCTAGTCTGTCCTATATGCGATACTATAATCTGTTCTATAGCCGATACTCTAGTCTGTATTCGAGACTGTAAAATCTGTTCTATAGTCGAGACTATAGTATGTTCTATACTCAAGACCATATTCTGTTCTATACTCGATCCTATAGTCAATTCGAGGCTATAATCTGTTCTATAATCGAGGTCCAGACTGTAGTCTGTTCTATATTCTAAGCTATAGTCCAGAATTTAGTCTGTTCTATAGTCCAGACTTCAGTCTGCTCTATAGTCTAGGCCATAGTCTTCACTATAGTCTGCTTTATAGTCTAGGCTATAGTCCAGACTATAGACTGCTATATAGTATATAGTCTAGACTGTGGTCCAGAATAAAGTCTGTTCTATAGTCTAGATTATAAAATAGATTATAGTCTGCTCTATAGTCTAGGCTATATTACAGACTATAGTCTGCTTTTTAGTCAAGGCTATAGTCCAGACTATAGTCTGCTCTGTAGTCTAGACTATAAAACAGACTATAGTCTGCTACACAGTCTAGGCTATAGTCCAGACTATAGTCTTGGCTATAGTCCGTTCTATAGTTAGTTCTATAGTCCAGGATATAGTCTAGACAAAAGTCTGTTCTATAAACGAGACATTAGTCAATAGTCAATAGTATTTTATAGTCGAGATTATAGTCTGTTCTATAGTGGAGACTGTAGTCCAGTCTGTAGTCTGTTCTATACTCTAAGCTATAGTCCAGAATTTAGTTTGTTCTATAGTCTAGGCTATAGTCCAGACTTTAGTCTGCTCTATAGTCTAGGCTATAGTCACTATAGTCCAGACAATAGTCTGCTTCATAATCTAGGCTATAGTCCAGACTATAGTCTGCTATATAGTATAGGTTAGCCTAGGCCATAGTCTAGGCTATAGTCTAGACTGTAGAATATAGTCTGTTCTATAGTCTAGACTATAAAACAGATTATAGTCTGCTCTATAGTCTATGCTATTTTACAGACTATAGTCTGCTTTATAGTCAAGGCTATAGTCCAGACTATAGTCTGCTCCGTAGTCTAGACTATAAAACAGACTATAGTCTAGGCTATAGTCCGTTCTATAGTTAGTTCTATAGTCCAGGATATAGTCTAGAAAATAGTCTGTTCTATAGACGAGATATTAGTCAATAGTCAAGACCATTTTATAGTCGAGATTATAGTCTGTTCTATAGTGGAGACTATAGTAAGTCTATTTTATTATCAATACTATAGTCTGTTCCGTAGTCGAAACTTTAGTCTGTTTTGTAGTGGAGACTGCATGATCTATAGTCGAGACTATAGGCTGCGCTATACTAGACGTTATAGTCGGTTATATAGCCGTGATAACTGTATATTCTATAGATTAGGCTATAGTACAGGCTATTGTCTGTTCAATAGTCCAGACTACCGTATGTTCTAAAGTCGAGGTAATAGTATGTCCTACAGTCTAGACTATAGCATGTTCTTTAATGGAAACTGTAGACTGTTCAACAGTCCATACTATAGACGAGACTTTAGTCTGTTCTACGGCAGACTATAGACCGTTCTATAGGTGATACTAAAGTTTGTTCTATACACGGGACTATTGCCTATAATTTAGACTGCTTTAGATTCGGGACTATTGTCTGTTCAATAGTCTACACAATGGTCTGATTGATAATCGAGACTATGGTCTGATTTTTAATTCAGACTATACATAATAGTACTTTAATATAGTGGTGAAGGAAATAAACGATCCGGTATATTTATACACTTCATTTGTTCAATCTTTTTTTTTTTCTACTATAAGTAAACCTAAAGGGTTAAAAGTTGGACAAGCCTTCAAGGCTGATATTTCCAGGGTGTTCGTCCAAATGTTAATATTAAAGAATAAAAAAAGCGATCCCTAAAATGAGGATACCTCCCTAGATTTTTATCTTTTGTCAGTTTTTAAAAATATTACACATAAAGAAAGAAAAATTAATTATGAAAGAATTTAAAGGAGTTCTTCTATGCTCTATGGGATGAGTCTGCCAAAAGAGAAGTTCAAAAATGAAATATTAAAGAAATTCAATTTTGGCACACAAGTACTTTGAAAAAAAAAAAACAAACAGCAACAACAAAAACACTGCACCACAGTTTAGCAATAAACAGAACAACAAAATTTTTTTATATGCAAAATGTCAAATCATGAAAAATAAAGGCGGCAGGAGGAGGAGGAGGAGAATGAAAAAAAAAAAAATTGTGCAAAAAAGCAACAAAAACTTAGATTAAGAAGAGTCACGTGAAATAAAAACAAAATAGAAAAAAAAACAACCATATGAAATGTTAAGCCGGGGCTAAAGCAAACCTACATATGTACACAAATAAATATGTACTTAAGGTGTCTATACAGCATCACAAATAACGAGAAAGAGGCGAAGAAGGATGTAGAGAAAAAAACATTATTTTGTTGTTGTATCTTCTTGGTATGTGGGCGTTTTTTGTACTTTATTTTCCTTCTGTAATACAGAAAATTTTAAACTGTTCTGGTGTATGGGAATGTAGCAAGGAGGTTTTTGTGAAAAAAAGGGCAGGGCAGTTAGAGGGGTGTTGTTTGGTTGGTTGCTGGTGGCAGCAGAAACTAAAGACTGTTTTAAATCTAGACAACATTTATACTTTTCTATTATTTATTTACATTTTAATAATGACCTTGGCTGGCAACTTGACATTTTATTTTATTATTATTTAAAAGGATTTTTTAGACTTAAATTAGATGATATAGAAAAAAGTTGTAAAATAACTTACGTATTAAAAGTTTTTTGATAATCCTTTATTTGTTTGCGTGAAAACTCATGAAATTCTGTATAAACATTGACCACTTTGAAACTGTGTGGTACTTCAATGCCTGCCTCCTGGGAGTCGATAATCACCTGGCGTCTATTGAGAATGTGTGACAATTCGGAGGAGTCGGTGGAGCCCGAATCACAGCTATTGGGCCGGCCCAATGAGGAACGGCGTCCATTTGAGGTGTTGGCTCCCGAAACGGAGGAGGCAGCCGAAGAAGCATTTGAGGAGACAGACATTTTAATTATTGGTAGCTTTTTTTTTGCAACAAAAACTTTTAATTTTGCTAAGAAATGTTAATTTGTTGTTATTTTTTTACTTTTTATAAACAAGTGCTTTGTTTAGGTATTTGTTTTTCTAATTTTGTAAAGACTCACACCCCTAAAGGATTTTTTCTTTTTAAACACTTTATTTTATAATTGAAATATGATTTTTTTATATTATTTTCTTTTTAACAATTTATTTAATATCCGTTATAAGTTTTACACAATTGTTTTTTGCGCGTTTATTAATACAACGAACTTGTCAGTTGGATAGTTGAAGAGTGACTGATGTTTACAACAAAAATCAAATTCTACTTTAGTACTTCGTAAAACAACTGTGTTCATATTTTTCTAAAAGCGTTGATAACAATGGTACTAGAGGATATTACTACCAAAGCTTTCCAAACTGTAGTTGTTTAGTAAATAATAGGGTTCTATAGTTGAAACAAAAAGTCGACTTTTCGACTTTTCGACTTTTTGCATTTAGTTAAAAGTCGACTTTTCGACCTTTCGACTTTTTCCATTTTATGAAAAGTCGATTTTTCGACTTTTCGACCTTTTTCATTTATTTAAAAGTCGACTTTTAGACTTTTCGACTTTTAGTACTTTATAAATGGTCGACTTTTCGACTTTTCGACTTTTTCCGACTTTTCGACTTTTTCCGACTTTTCGACTTTTTTCGACTTTTCGACTTTTTCCGACTTTTTTCGACTTTTCGACTTTTTTCGACTTTTCGACTTTTTTCGACTTTTCGACTTTTTTCGACTTTTTCCGACTTTTTTCAACTTTTCGACTTTTTCCGACTTTTCGACTTTTCGATTTTTTACGACTTTTTGACTATTTTCGACTTATTTCGACTTTTATTCGACTTATTTCGACTATTTTATACTTTTTTCGAGTTTTTTCCGACTATTTTAGAGTTTTTGACCTCTTTTCCACTTTTTTAAAATTTTCGACTATTTTCGACTTTTCGACTTTTCGACTTTTTTCGACTTTTTTTCGACTTTCTTCGACTTTTTTCGACTTATCGACTTTTTTCGACTTATCGACTTTTTTCGACTTTTCGACTTTTTTCGACTTTCCGACTTTTCGACTTTTTTTCGACTTTTATTTACAAAGTCGACTTTTCGACTTTTTTCATAGACGATAGTCGAGTTATCGACTTTTTTGGAACAAAATAGTCGACTTCGACTTTTCGACTTTTTTCGACAAAAAGTCGATTGTTCAATTATTCGAAAGTCGATTTATAGAACCCTAGTAAATAATATAATAGAGGGTATGTTCAGTGCTGCCAACAGAAATTGAAAAAAAGTCTAAATCACTAGAACAAGTTTTACTACCTTTCTAAAGGATTAAACCGAGCTAAAACTAAATCTTGCCTCTGAATTTCTCCAGCACATCAGATTTTCTATATATAACATTCTTAAATTTGAAAATAATCCTGTTTTTTTGGCCATATTTGGAACGTTAGACCAGCACGAAGACACATTTCTTTATAAAAATTGTTATGTCATCTGAAAGTTCCATTTGTCGAATTTAAAATAAACGTTTAACTACTCTTTTCTTGAAAACTTATAAACGCTACACACAGCTTTACCAAAGTACGGCATTACCATTAACATTATACGGTCTTACCGTTAAGAACTAAGCAATACTTTTCAAACTTTACATACAAATAAAATTTTACTTAAAGTATGTTCAGTGTACGTTAGTCAACGCTTTATTACAAAAAAATAAAAAAAACGCGCAAAATATTAAGTTTATTTTCTCTTTAGTAGCTATTTTAACTGTGATAAAAGTTATTTTTATATTACTGACTGTTTTCGAAGTTCTAATGTGATTTAGTATACTTTATTATAATTTCAAGTGGACACTAACAAAAGGTCTTTATATCAAAAATATTCAATAGTTTAATATAAAAAAATAAATTATTCATTTACTGCCTGTTTTTCTAAAATATTTTAATTCTCATTCGTTAGTTTAAAGAACGAAGACACATTTTCATTTTACAAAAACAGGTTGTTATTATTAGTATGAAAAATATTTTGTTCGTATCACGTACAGTGGCATGACATAATGTCCATGGACACTATGACACATTAAATTGAGTCATTGTGTCCCTGAACGTTATGACAATTTCAAAAGTGTCACAATGTCTTTGAGTAAAATGTCAAAAAGTCTATGAATTTAAAGGAGTTCATTTATCAAAAAAAGGCTTAATTTAGCGAAGCCGGTATTCGAAATATCCTAGAATTTAAAACCACTGCGCACGGCTATCCAAGACATTTTTTAAAGGAATCCAAAATGTAGCAAATGTATATCAAATTTAGGAGCAATTCTTTTCGGAATGAGAGTGCCCATTTCCTAAATCCTAAATACATTTTAAAATATATTTCTGTTTTAAAAGTGTCATAAAGTCCATGGATACTATGACACTTTTTGGTGTGTTATAATGTACATGGCTATTATGTCACTTGATTTATACTATTTCAATTATGTGCTTCTAGTATTGTGTATTATAAAGAGCAATCGTTAAGGGCTGACACTGTTGTAAATTATACTATAAAACTAAGTACAATAAAAAATTCTGAAAAAAGCATTTTGTAAACGGAAATATTTACCCGGAAAATTCATTATAAGTATAAATATCTAGTATTTATCTCTCCATTTTTTCTCTTTAATTTACTTGTCTATCTATATGTCTATATACCTATCTGCTTATCTATATATCTATTTATCTATCTATCTGTCTATCTATCTATCTATCTATCTATCTATCTATCTATCTATCTATCTATCTATCTATCTATCTATCTATCTATCTATCTATCTATCTATCTATCTATCTATCTATCTATCTATCTATCTATCTATATATCTATATATCTATCTATCTATCTATCTATCTATCTATCTATCTATCTATCTATCTATCTATCTATCTATCTATCTATCTATCTATATATTTATCTATCTGTCTATCAATCACTAAATCTATATATAATTCAATCAGTCATATAGATAGACTGATTGAATTATATGATAGATCTTTTCTGAGTATCTACTTACCTACTTAAAATTCTATAATTTGTTCTAACAAAAATTTCCAATGGTTTTTTAAATTTAAATATTTATCCAATTTTCTATAAATTATTCTAATAAAAATTGCCAACTTAAATATTTATCCAATTTTCAATGTAAAAATTTATTAACCGTTAAGGGCTGACACTGTTGTAAATTATACTATAAAACTAAGTACAATAAAAAATTCTGAAAAAAGCATTTTGTAAACGGAAATATTTACCCGGAAAATTCATTATAAGTATAGATATCTAGTATTTATCTCTCCATTTTTTCTCTTTAATTTACTTGTCTATCTATATGTCTATATACCTATCTGCTTATCTATATATCTATTTATCTATCTATCTATCTGTCTATCTGTCTATCTATCTATCTATCTATCTATCTATCTATCTATCTATCTATCTATCTATCTATATATCTATATATCTATATATCTATCTATCTATCTATCTATCTATCTATCTATCTATCTATCTATCTATCTATCTATATATTTATCTATCTGTCTATCAATCACTAAATCTATATATAATTCAATCAGTCATATAGATAGACTGATTGAATTATATGATAGATCTTTTCTGAGTATCTACTTACCTACTTAAAATTCTATAATTTGTTCTAACAAAAAATTTCCAATGGTTTTTTAAATTTAAATATTTATCCAATTTTCTATAAATTATTCTAATAAAAATTGCCAACTTAAATATTTATCCAATTTTCAATGTAAAAATTTATTAAAAAATATATACGTTCCGCTTCATCGCCTGTGGTCGACATTGTGTTTGAAGATAATTAAAGATTTGTGCTTGTTTTAATACAATTTACTTTTTAGTTTCTTTATGATAAATACACATAATTAAAGATCATCTATTTAAAAACCACACAAAAAAAGGAATTACAATTACTTATCTTGTAAATTACATAGAAATTTATTTAAACATTTATGAATTTAAATCCAATTTCGATTTACCTTCAGCTTCCTCTTCGGGCATGTAATTTGGTGATAAGGCTTTACCTCTATGATTAAATGAATAAAATGAGGGAAAGTTACCGAAAGTATCCCAGGATTTGGCTTGCATATCAACGGTGGCACGAATTTCCTTAAAATTACCCACAATTTGGATGAGATTGTAAATGACAACGATTAAACTGACCACAATTTGAACAACAATCTAGGTAAGTGAATTATTTAAATGTCTTTTTGTATTAAAATTTGTTATTTTTTTTTTATTATACTTACATCCAAAGGTAGTTTAGTAAATTCTTGTTCGGTTAAACGTAAATAAGTGCGATCTGTTTAAGGAGAAAAATATCTAATTTATTTGACCTGCATTTTTTCGTGTTTTCCAAAGTTCTAATCTACTTACAATGAGCTGCCGAATAGGCGGCATGTGCTAAACTGGCAAAGCCGGCTATTAAAAGAAATTTGTTAAAAACTGTATTGACCATTTTTATTTATAAATATTATATGGTTTTTATTTAAAGTTTTAGGATTTTGTTAAATTTTCTATAAAAATACAGGCGTGAAAATAATTTTCCCTGTTATTCTTTTCTTCTTTACCACAATAATGACAAGTGTCAATTAAA